TTGTTGTATAAGTAAATAAACTATATATATATTGAATAATTGCTTTTACAATTTTTCAAAACTAGAAAGTAAACGCGTTTTTTAATTTTTTATTTTTGAAAACAATTTTTCAAAATGACAAAAAGAACGCGTTTTCAACAATCTTAAAATGGACACTCAAAACACAAAATCCAAAATGAATTCAAAACTCAAAACTAAAATCTGAAATACAAAGAGAACAGCCCCTTAGGTTTTCGAAATCAATAATACAAATTTCCTGGAAATCATACATGCATACCAGGCTCAATTGATACAACGCTCTCAATTTATCCCACAAAAATCCAATTACAAAGTCACATCTTGATAACTGAAAATTTGGTTCTATCTTACGTTCAACACTATCAGAAGTGGGTTCGTATTTTATGTATTGTGAACCTATGACTTTTTATGTTATACATCAAATTTTAAAAATGGGAAACAACATAAAGGAAGGAAGCAATTTACATACCAGTCTTTACATTCCTCGCATTGTATCATCAAATCATCTGGATTATATGGCATCTCACATTTGCAATACCTTTCAACATGTGACCACAACAGCATCATTTAGTAACTTCTGAACACCATAGCTTTTGTATAAGAACACAAGGACAAAATTGTAATTTACTTTACTCACACTGCAACACGATCTGGCAGGAAAGCTCCAGTAGTAGGTTTATACTCAAAACGGCAATAGTAATCCTCAGGCCCAACATTCTCCAGCTTAGTGTAATTCTTGAAAGTGTGAACAATGCACTTTCCCTCAATGGTGTGAGCACTTTGAGTGTCATAGTGGTCTGACAGAAACAACTCCTTAGCTCCATGAAACTGTCTCCGGCCTCCCACAGATTCCTCTGGTCTATAGTACCACCTTACTCGAACCTTCACATTGTTACGGTTATCAGCCTCAATCTTTTCCACGCGTGCCACATATGGGGCAGAATCATTTTCTACTGGTCGCATCAAAACGCAGTCCCCAGCTGCAAATCCAAGACAATCAAACACAAGATTCAATCACTGAAGTTGTAGCACAAATACATTGAATGCAACTTCCGTTAAAAACAAAGAAAAATAATTAAAAGCAAAAA